TGCAGCCCAGGCTAGCTAGCCCCGAATTCACAGAAATCCTCCTGCGTCAGCCTCCCAACTTCTGGGACTACAGGTACGCACCAGCATGCCGGCCCCTTCCTTATTTATAAATGCTTTGTTTCCATTTTTTCCTTCTATTCTTATCCCTTCCTTCCTTTCCCCCTGCCCCCTTCCTAGTTCCCTTCCCATTTGAACATTTCTTCCTATTTTGCAATATGTATTATGCATTTTGGTCCTTATTTCCACTTTCAGTTTCTCACACCAGAGAAACAATGTGATATTTAAACGTGTGTCTGATTTATTTCACTTAAGAGTGTGGTCTCAAGGTGCATCCATTTAGCTAGAAATGTCTCAAATTTATCCTTTTTTTTTTTTTTTTTGGTACTGGGGATCAAATTCGGGTCCTTGCGCTTGTGAAGCAGGTGGGGGAACCACTGAGCTAAATCCCCAGCCCCTCAAGCTTATCCTTTGTGGCTGTGTAAAAAAACCCCACATCTTTATCCATTCATTGGTTGTTGGGCATTTGGGCTGTTTCTAAGATTTAGCTATTACAGACCATGCTGTTGTAAACATGGTAAATATATCGCTGTGCTATGAAGCTTTTAATTCTTTTGGGAAGATACTAAGAAGAGAAATAGCTGGATTGAATGGAACCTCTAGTTTCAGTTTTTTGAGAAATCTCCATAGTGGTTGCACCGGTGTACACTCCCACCAACAGCAGAGAAGGGTTTCTTTTTCTCCACAGCCCCGCTAGCATTTGTTATTGGCCAATTTCTTTTTTTTTTCTTTTTTGGTACCAGGGATGGAACTTGGGTCCTTGTGCTTGCACAGCAGGCGGCGAAACCACTGAGCCAAATTCCCGGCCCCTCGGCTGATTTCTTGATAACAGCCATTCTTTCTGGAGTGAGGTGGAATCTCAGCATTGTTTTCATTTGCATCTCTCAAATGCTGAGTGATGTTGAACATTTTTTCATATGTTTATTTGCTATTTTTACTTCATCTGAGAAGTGTCTATTCATTTCAGATGCTCATTGGGTCTTTAAGTTTGATTTTTTTTTTTTAGTTCTTTATATATTCTGGATATGAGTCTTTTGTCTGAGGAACACCTGGCAAAAATTTTTTCCTACTCCGGGTTGTCTCTTAGCTCTGTTGGTGGTTTCTTTTGCTGTGCAAAAGCTTTTTAATAAGATGAGATCCCAGTTGTTGATTCTTTGTGATGTTTCATGTGCAATCACGGTTTTGTTCATAAAGTCTTTGTCTCCGCCTGCGTCTTCAAGAGTTCTACGTGTTCTATCTTCCAGCAGATGTGGTGTTTTGTTTTAATATTTAGGTCTTTGATCCATTTCAGTTTTACTTGAGGGCCTGGTGAGAGATATGGGTCTAGTTTTCATTTCCGGCTATGGCAAGCCCGCTTTCCCAGCTGTTACCATCTATTACCGAGGCTGTAGGAGGTACAGCTGGAGCTGGCCCTTTGTGAGGGACAGGCAGCCCCTGCTGGTCTGTGTTGGAGCCCTTGTGTCCCACACGTCTGGTGACGTTTGGTGGCCCCTTGGCTACAGAAGCCATGGATTTCTCGGGCAGAACCTCTAGGAGCTGTGACCAAGGTTTGCATGAGGACCTCAGGAGAAGTGTGAGAGGTGAAGGGCAGCCCTGTGCTAGAGGTGGCAGCAGAGGAGAAAGCCAGAAAGCTGGAAGGAGGAGAGGAAGGGTCAGAGAGAATCCGGACGGAGCGGAGCTGTGCAAGTCTCCAGGAAGGCCTGGTGTGGAGGTCGTGGGGCTGCAGTGAGACTGGGAAGCCCCCTCGGGGCCAGAGCTAAGGTGTGGTGAGCCTCGGCCAAGCCCGGTGGGAGCCAGAGCACTCACTGCTCGTACCTACGGCCTGCTGCAGCGCTCCACTGCCCTCCGTTGCCCTCCACTCCCCTTGGTGGCGCAGGGCAGGGTCTGCTGTGCTTGCTCAGACCCAGAATTGGTTTTCTGGTTTTTTTCACAGGGGTTGTGATGTATCTGTTGCTAGAAGGCCTAACAACTCTAGGAACTGTTTGTGGCTCTGGGGACATTTCTGGTAGCTCGGAGCCCTGCAGAATGATGACTGATGATGAACTGGGCTCCGCTGTTTGACGGTCCTGGGCCTGCGGTACCGTTTACTCGCGTGCCTCTGCCTGCCCGCTGTCTCCGTTGTTCAGTCTCACTGCTGGATAACAGTTAAGGAACAGAGGCAGAACCATCATCATTTTATTTTGAGCAGGGGCTCAGATTTCCCATCTCGCCTGCTTGCTCAGAGCCCCCAGGCAGGCTGACCCCGGCCCTCGCCTTTCTCGTCCTCTGCGGCTCCCAGGCCTGGTGGTCCTCTCGTCCTCTGTCCTCTCGTGGTGGCTTCGCTTCTGCTGCATGAGCCGCCATCTGGGTGAGCTCGTCTCCCTTACGCTTTGCCTTTTCTTCACCCTGTTGTGGTCACAGTGGCATCTGAGCCCCTTGGGACTCAGCTTCTGAGCTCTTTCTGTCATCCTAAACCCCTGCCTCTTCTCATTGGCTCCCAGCAGTGGGGGCATCCTCCTGCAGGCCGGCTGTCGCCCTGGAGCACTCATGTGAGCCTCCAGGAATCTCTGCATTGTCAGTCTCTTCTTCCTCCTCAGCAGGAACACACTGATGATCCCTCTGCCCTGAAATTCTGCTCCTCCTTCCCCTGGTGCTGCTCCCTGAGCATGCTTTTCCCTGTGCTCCCTCTCACCCTGCCGTGCTCCCTTTTCTCATGGCTCTGGGCCATGCATTCTGAGCCCCTTCCCTTCCTGGGCACCTGGTCTCCAGGCTGTGAAGCCTACCCCATGCTTTCCAGGAATTCCCTCCCCACCAGTCTCGCTCTGGGCCTTTTCTAGTTCTAGGCCAGGCTCCACAAACTTTTTGATAGGCAACCTCTTCACAGCTGTTAGGAATGTTCTGCGGACTCAAAGTCAGTGGCCTTCTTCTGCAGACGTGGGCTGACTTGATCCTGCTGGCCCCTACCTTCGGGGGAAAGAACCCTTTTGCTCTACTGCTAGCTCCCCTGCCGTCCCTCTGCTGCCTGAGCTCGCACCCTCATGACTCCCCACAAGTGTTCTGATGGGTCCCTCCCTCTCCTTGGTCCTCCCGGAACCTCTACCAGGCCCAGCCACAGTCGGAAGGGGTCACTACTGTCCTCGGTTGCTCTCCAGAGGGCACGAAGTGACACTGGCCTCTTGCTCATCAGCGCCCAGGTGCCGTTCCCATCCTTGAGGCTCCCACCTCTGGCAGCTGCTGTTCTCTGGGCATTTGCTTGTGTTGTTCCTGCTCTGCCTGCTCCCCTGACTCTGTTGCCTAGAAAATCCTTCCAGGCCCAGGGCCAGCGTTGTCTCTGTGAAATCTCTCTATGTGAAGTCTCTCTGAGCCTGTAGTAAATGTTTGGTGAATTATGAGTAGAAGTTGACTGCCACTGCCTTAGTAACAATGGCCACTTCTTTTTTTTTTTTTTGTACTGGGGATCAAACTCGGGTCCTTGTGCTTGCGCAGCAGGCGGTGAAATACAACGGCCACTTCTGGTGGAACCCTTGTGGGATACTTGCCATCTGTTACCACGTTTCTACCAGAACTGAATGGTTAACAGTGCAAGCTCCCCTCCCTAATCCCTGTACAGCCCTTTTTTATGTTTTGTTTGGAGACAGGGTCTCAGTAAGTCCCCCAGGCTGTCCTTGAATTTACAGTCCTGCCTCAGCCTCCCAGAGTGCTGGGATTACAGCTGTGTGACACTGCATCCAGCCAAGCACAGGAGCTTAGATGACTGTTCAGCTTTGACTGTTTCTGTGACCTTGGACAGATTGTTTACTATCTCAGCATCAGTTAAATCTGGGGGTTAAATGTGCCTGCCACACGGGAAATGAGCCATTAAGTGGTAGCTGGTGTCAGATTTCCACCCCCCTAACCCCCCGTGAGCTGTACGTCCTGCTGTCATTCCTCTTCGGCACATGGTGAGACTCAGGCTGGGATACCCTCGTAACCTGTACTGCTCCTCAGACACATGGCTGAGGGGACTGTGGCTCCTTCTGCCTTTCCAGAGTCAGGTTGAGAGAAATTTAGACACTGCTACCTGCACAGGGGTGGTACCGAAGTCAGTCCCTTCCGTCTGATGTCCTGTCATCTCAGCAATGAACTCTATGTTTCCTTCCGACAGATGGTATTTGATATCTTTAATGGTTACTTAAATCCCTCACTGTGAACATAGGCATTTATTTATCTTCCTTCCCCAACTGGATCGTAACGTAAGTTCTTAGAGGGCAGAGGACTGTATTTGTAGGTCTGTGTATAACTTCTGCCCCTTGATAGGCCTCATTTTATTTGCTGACATAGCAAGTTAACCCTTCATTTTAATCTCAAAAAGGAATTCTCAACCATTTTTAAGTGATGACCAACCAGCCAAGATGATTTTATCTTAATTTCTTTATATTGCATTAAAACATTATTTTCTAAATAAACATAACTATGTCACATATGTTTACAACTGCACCTCAGCTTGGCACGGTGGTGCACACGGGTAATCCCAGCACTCAGAAGGCCGAGGCAGGAGGATCACTGTGAGTTCAAGGCCAGCCTGGACTACACAGGGAGACCTTGTCTGAATAAAACCCAAAACCAAGGGTCGGGGATTTAGCTCACTGGCGCTCTGCCTGCCTCACAAGTACAATGTCCTGAGTTCCATTCCCAGTATGAAAAAAAAAGAGAAAGACCAAAATCAAGTGAATAAACAAACTGGGGACCTCCCCTGTCTCTGCTTTATGGGCGCTGGTCTGTTGGCGCTGTTGGGCAGGAGGCTCTGGTGTTTACTCCCTATGCCCCTTCCCTTCCCTTGTTTTACAGTTGAAGCAGCTGAGGACCACATCACAGTGGTTCTCCCATTTTTTTTATCTGACAAAGTATTTTTCTAATTCAGCTTGGTCGAGACCCAAGATCCCCGAAGACTCGAGTTTTAAACGCTTTGTATTTGTCTCTGGCAGAGCTGAAAAGCTGCAGCTGCTGAACCACAGGCCAGTGACTGCTGTGGAGATCCAGCTGGTGAGTGGGGGAGCCTGAGCTCTGGCATTGTCTCCAGGGAGCCGCGGAACTGCGACGGGGAAGAGGTGCCCGGCGCCCACTCATAAGTGACAGAGGCCGCAGCCCTGAGCCTGCTGGCCTGGGCCTCGGGAAGCTGAATGTCTCCATGGAGCTTGGCAGCTTTGTCTCCTCAGATGCGCCAGCCCCCTCGCCACTGGCTCCCCGCGGGGCTGCTGCCAACCCACCATTCCCAAGACACGGAGCCCGCAGCCCGGGTGGGTTCTGTCCTGCTTACTTGCGGCAGCCTCTCTCGCTCCTCTTCCGGTTAGCGGCGTGCATGCGCTTTCTGTCCCACAGCTTTCCTCCTGCACCTCCTGTTGCTACGCACCAGGAACCCGACACCCTTCCCTTTGTTGCAGCTCAGGTCCATCTCCTCTTGCTCCTTCTCCTGTCCCTCCTGCGTGGCATGAGGATGACTTTCCGTCATCCTTTCCTACCCCTTCCTGCCTTTCTCCCTCCCTGCAGGTGTCCCTCCAGCACCTGGCCACTGCCACTGCCCTCCCTCCCTCCTCTGCCTGAGACCACCTGGTGTGGCCTCAGCCCTGGGAAGTCCAGGCTGCTGTTGCTGCATAAGGTGTGGGAAGTGCAGCCAGGTGCGGCAAGGAGAATGTGAGGTGATGTCCAGTGACATGGGGTGGCTGTTCTGTTGGCTTTCTGTGGCAGGCCCTTCTACCGCACAGGGAGAGAGCAGGTTTTCTAACTGCCAGTGAAAATCTCTGCTCAAGGGAATTCACAGAATGAAAAGAAGTTTCCAAAGTCGGTTTCAGAAATACTCAGCTCTTTGTCAAATTTCCTTTAGAAAAGCCTGGAAGAAAAGGGCCAAAAATACCTATGATCTTTAGTTTCTTATTGAAAATTTTTTTCAAGGGTAATATTAAAATTTTGCCTAAAGCCTTCATTACCTTCATTGTTTCTGTCCTTCAGATATACCCAAATTAGATTAGAAAAATTCCTTCCATAAAGGATGCCTTTCCAGGGGAACTGGCCTTTTGGCTAAATAGAGGTCCCCCTTTTTGTATCCTATTATTCCCATGCTTTAGACTGTTGGAGATTGAACTTACAGGAGGGAAAAAACAAGCAAAACAGCAAGAAACCAATCCCTTACCCTCCGGGTTAAAGATCACATGTCGTGTCTCCTCCGGCTTTAATCAGCAGCATATGTTATCCGTGGCTGAGGGACAGATGGAGAAGGAGACGGGGAGGACAGTGTGACCTCACCGCAGAGCCTGCAGGGAGCTCTCAGTACTCCGGAGGATTTGCTGCTTCTAGGGGCCTCAGAGATGCAGACTGTCCTAACATCCTCACCCTGGTGTTAGAGGGGACGCATATTCTCTCAGGTTTAGCCCAGAGGTCAGCGAGTGGCTGTGTGGGGTCTTCTCAGAGCCTTTCCTTTCTCCTCCCACTGTGAGCTTTGGCCTGGTGCATTAGTCAGGGTTCTCAGAGAGGCAGAGGGCTTGACTCGGTTTACCAGGGAGCAGCTGCTGCGATGATGGAAGCTGAGCCCTACAGAGGCGTCTGCAGTCTGCAGGACCAAGGACACCAGCAGCACAGCTCAGTCCAGGTCTGGGGATGCTGGGGCCGGCCCCCAGGACTTGGGGGACTGCTCCTGTAAGCTGTGGAGCTCAGAGGGGAGAGCGCTTGGAGTCCTGGGGTCCTCGGACCGGAGGGGCATGTCCAGCCCTGGCCGGGCCAGTGGGCATCCTGCCTTGACCTTAGCCAGCTGGATGATGCCACCACATTGAGGGCAGGTTTGCCCCTCGAAGCCCACCCAAAAGCAGCACTCACCAATGCTCAGTGTCCCTAGTCCAGGTAGGGTGACACTGAGCTTCATGGGCACACCTGGCTGGAAGAGAGGTAAGGGCGGTACTCTAGCTTGCTACCTTCTTTCCCAGCAGGCAGCCTTCATAAAAACTCGCTTCCTAGCAGTTGCACCGTTTCATAGCCAGATCCTCCCTCCCGAGGATTTGGCTACAAAAGGTGGCAGATCATTTCCCAGGTCTCGGAACAGTGTCTTCTCACCACAGAGGGATAAGAAATGAGGGGTTCCCACAGTGGGAGAGTGCAGAGGACCTTAGAACCCACTGTGTGCCCCCTTGTCCACAAAAGCAGTTCTGGTGCTCACCTTTGTTAGTTTTCAGTCAGGAGCCAGGCATCTTTCGGAGGCTGAGGGTTCACTAAGCCTCTGCTATGGTTTGCTGTGGTCTTCTGTGGCTGCTGCTGACTTAGGGCCATAGGGAATAGGGGGCTGTGTGACCCCCGCACCCTTGGGTCGGTTCTCATGGAAGGATTTCTCAGCTCTCGGGCCTGAAGCCAAGGCAGTGAGCCCTGTGACCTGCAGCCGCTCTCTTGAGCAGCACTGCCGTCGAGGCCACCTAGGAACTTAGTGACTGTGCACTCCTGAAGACTGTGGCTTACACAACACCATCCCAGCTGGAGCGTGGTGGTGCACGCCTGTAATCCCAGCTCTCGGGAGGCTGAGGCAGGAGGATTGCTGTGAGTTTGAGGCCAGCCTGGGCTACATAGTGAGTTCAGGGCCAGCCTGAACTACAAATTGAGACCCTGCCTCAAAAACAAAACAAAACAGCATCCCATGTTCTTACTTGGTACTCATGGTAGGCTTTGCTTTCATTTCAGCTAGAGAAAGTTGATGTTCAGAGAGATGAAGTGAAGTCACCGTCCTTACCTGTAATCTCAGTCAGTGCTCTGGGAGGCTGAGGCAGGAGGAGCACAAGTTCATGCCCAGCCTGGGCAACTTAGGAAGAGCCTATCTCAAAATTAAAAAGGGCTGAAGATAGCTCAGTGGGAAGGTCCTGGGTTCAGGCCCCAGTAATGCCCAAAAAAGAGGTAAAGTGAACTGTTGTGGGTCAAATAGCTGGATGGGCTTGCTGGTGCTACAGGCTGAGTATACCTTATTCAGGATGCTTGGGACTGAAAGTGTTTAGGATTTCAGTGTTTGTTTTGGTACCAGGGATCAAACTGAGGACCTTGTACTTGCAAGACAGGTGGTGGCACCACTGAGCTGAATCGCCAGCCCTCAGATTTTTTTTTTAAGGAATATTTGTACATGTATAATGAGCTATCTTCAGGATGGGACCCAAATCTTAACACAAAATTCCTTTCTGTTTAATATGTACCCTATACACATAGACTGAAATAATTTCATACAGTGGTTTTGGTGTGCCTGCATTTTGACTTGGACTTGTCATGAGATCAGGGGTAGAATTTCCCACTTGAGGTGTCATGTCAGTGCTCAAAAAGTTTCAGAGCCAAGCATAGTGGTGCACGCCTTGATCTCAGCTACTCAGGAGGCTGAAGCAGGAGGGTTGAAAATTCAAGGCCAGCCTAGGCAATTTAGTGAGATCCTATCCCAAGACAAAATAAAAAGAGCTAGGGGTCAAGGATTTAGCTCAGTGGCACCATGCCTGCCTCGCAAGTGCAAGGTCTGAGTTTGATCCCTGGTACCCAAAAAAAAAAGCTAGGAGTGTATCAGATTTGTGATTAGGGCTGCTTGGCCTGCATTGTATCCCAAGTCCTGCCTAGGAAAGTAGCATTAGCTCGGCAGTTACGATGAGGGACAGCCACTCTTGGGGTTTAGCAATCCAGCTTGACAGCCCTAGGGGTTAGTGCAGTCTTTGTATGTGATAAATATTTGTCGTGACCCATTTGCCAAGACTCTGGATTTTAAAATGTCACATGCCTTAACGTTCTGGACAGCGAAACCTCCAGTGTCTGAGGACATCAAGCCAGGCTCTGAACGTGGGCTTTCTCCTGCGTGGGGAAGGAATGGTGCAGAATGACGCACTTGACTTTCATCTGTGGATCCAAGAGGCTCAATAAGTTTTTGACTTCTGAAAGTTTCTGTGAAAGTTTTCACATTTTTTGTTCTTTTCTGTATATTTTATTTAGCCTTAGGCAGTGTAGGTTTTCTTCCTGTGACTGGGAATCTTAGAGGGAAGGACAAGTTCCTAACTATACTTAGCCCTCAGGACTGGGTGCTGATAAAGCTGTTAACCAAACTGGTCAGAAATGGAAAGCTGTTGCCCTTTTGCTGGGAACACGTGTGGCTGATGCCTGATCACGGTGTGTCTGGGATGCCGGAAGGTGGCCCCGCCCCGGAAGCCAGCGGTCTCTTGTGAGATAGGTGGAAGTAATAGGATCTGGTGTCCAGCAGGAGCTGGCATTCAGTGTCAAAGACCTTGGCTCTACTTGCTGAGCCCCAGCACTGAGTCTCTGCTTACTCCATCACTGTCCTGACTTTCAGCGTGTGGGGCTGGAGAAGCCCTAGTGGCAGGGACCCCAGGCAGAGGCTCATAAGCCGTGGAGCACTTGGGCGGGGCTGCAGCTGGTGGTAGAACGATTGCTGAGCCTTGCAAGGCCCTGGTTCCCCCTCCTCCGGTGCTGCCCCCCGCCAAGTACATAGACAAACTATGGAGCACTGCGCTAATTAGGGTCTATTAGCCGTGTATACCCATTATTCATAAACTTGGCAACATTCTGTTTTTTCTGGATCAAAGAATGAAATTGGATATTTCCCTCATAATTCCTTCATTCTTTGGGGGCAGTCTGTATGAGATTATTGCTTTGTAGACCCTGACTTTGCACCGCTGATTTTTAACACATACTTTCTGAATATTGTTTCCTGATTGGTAAAGAAGTTACATTTTACTAAGCCAGGATTTATCTCAGTGGTATTGCACCTGCTTTGCAGGCACAAGGTCATGAGTTCGATTTCCGGTACCAAAAAAAAATTTTTTTTTTAACTAAGCCATTGACCCTGTAGAAAAGTGGCTATTGTGTTGGACAGCATGATGGGAAGTATTACCCCTTGGCTTACTTAGGACAGTCTCTGTCTGGAATACTGAAGACTTCTCTGGTTGTGGAAATGGTTTGTGGCTGGATTGGATGAAGTGAGCAGTGTCTTCGCAGGATTTGGTGGTGCGCTCTTAGACAGGTCTTGTAATTTCTGTGCCAACGTCTATAAAATGAGGCTGTCAATTAAGGCACTTTCCAAGATTGTAAGCCTGGTCTTCTGCTTTGCTTTTTTTTTTTGAAGCAGGGTCTCACTATGTTGTTTAGGCTGGCCTTGGAGTCACAGTGTAGCCAAGGCTAGCATCAAACTTGCAGTGATACTCTTGCCTCAGCCTCCCAAGTGGTGCTAGGGTTACAGGCGTGTGCCACCATGCCCGTCTATTCTTGCTCCACTTAAATCTCCTAGGATTTTGTGTCTGAAATTCCATCTGGTAGCAGTTGGCAGATTTGAGATTGCTGTGGGATCTGTGAGCCAGACTAAGTAACTTGACTGGCTGGATGTGGCGACCTGCTGTGGAGTGTTCAGAGTAGAAAGGAGTCCGAGAGGACTGGCTCATGCCTGTGGTGTCTTCTGTATGCTGATCTCTGGGCCGTGTCAGAAAACACTTAGCAGGGCCCATGCTGGGCAGTGTTCTGCATCCTCAGGAGGTGACGAGGCCACACGGAGTGTCCTGGTCAGTTCCCCGCCGCAGGACCAGAACCTAAGATACTCACCTTGTGAGGAGGAAGGATTTACTTTGGCTCAGTGTCAGCAGTTTCAGTCCATGGTTGCCTTACCTGTGGCTGCGCATCAGGGTGGAAGCAGATGGCACAGGGCAGGCTGCTGGGTAGCACAAGTTGGGCCAGGGTCCCGGGGTCCCCGCCAAGGGCACAGCCCGCTGAGCTCACCTTGCACTAGTCCCACCGTGCTGGGAGCCCTCCTGAACGGAGTCACGGAAGAGCCACTCTAAGCAGGATGGTTGTTGGAACCATGTAAGAGCAGAGGGGAGGGGAGGGTTTCAGCTGACCTTGCTCGGAGGAGCTTCAGGTATTCTCAGAGGAGCTGCGTCTTTCGCCTTACCCTTGCGCGTCGTCCCCTGGCTTGGGGCAGACTCTTAGCTTTTTGTGCTGCCCCTCCCACCTCCCGGTGCAGAGGGTTGTCCCCCCCCGCCCCCATCTCAGACCCTTTCTCTCCTCATGTGGACTCGTACAGGGCATTGCCTTCAGCCTGGACCCTTTGGGTCTCCAGTGTACAGACAAATCTTCACATGCTTCTGCATTTGACTCTGTGGCCGCCACTGTAGGCCAGCCTTGTACCTGTCTGCATCTGGCCTTAGATCGGTTCGAGAGCCTGTTCGGTCTTGGGGAGCCTTGCCCCGCCCTGTGAGCTCTGGTAAGCACTGACTAATGCATCCCCCTTGGAAGGGCTGCACCAGCTCCCCGTAGTGCCACAGTCACTTGGCCTTGGGACACATTCAGATCCAAACCATCGCAGGGAATGTGATCAGTGGTGGCTTTAGGCTTGGGATTCCAATCACTGAGTTCACTCCGGTACAGATGTGAAATTGAAAGTGTAGAGTGTGTCACTTTGCCCCTAGAGGTGACTTTGTATGTACAGTGTCCCCTTCTCAGTGTGGATGTGAATGGAGACAGGACAGCCAGGGTTTCCTTTTTCCTTGTGCCCATTTTGAGCGTTTGCATCGGCTGAGCATGCTGGCTTTGCCCTGTTGTGGAGCCGGGGTGGAGATGACCTGGGGACCCACGTGCTGCCCTCTTGCTGGGCTGCAGGGCCAGAAGCTCAGGTCTTGTAACAGCAGCGTCTTCTCTCCTCATGCAGATGGTGGAGGAGACAGAAGAGCGGTTCACGGAGGAGGAGCAGATCGAAGAGCTTCTCCACACTGTCATGAGCGTCCTGCCTGCCGAGCCGGAGGCCGAGCAGAAGACAGATGCCAGTGGTGACGTGGAGATGAACGAGGAAGGTCGAGCCTAGAGGACCACCAGCCGGCTGCTCACCAACTAGAGGGCTGGCAGCCACTTCCTGGACATTCGGGGGATTCTTTACTCAGTTTCCTGTCTATCCCAATCACCTGTTTTCATGGTTGGGAAAAATCACAGAAATTCGGTGAATGGAGATGTTTGGGGCTTGGGGAGAAGAGACGTGGTGAAGTCAGGCGTGGTTATCGGGCAGAGAGCCAGAGGAAGAACAGCGACTGTGCCCCGCAGTGGGAGCGACACTTCCTGCAGCCTTTGCTGCTCGTGGGAGGCCTGTGTTGTGTGTCCACAGATGGCGAAGCTTGCACGGCCTCTGATGAGCTGTGTGGTGATCGCTTTCATCTGCTTTCCTCAGAGATCCAGGCAGAGCTCAGGGCTGTTGGTGAGAGCTGAATTATGAAAACCCAGAGCCCTGAACAGTTGCTGTGAGCCACGGAGCTCTTGCCTGCGGAAATTTCCTTGGCAGTGGAGATGGGAAAGCAGATGAGTAAAGCCCGGGCTGGCCGGCCCTCCGTGAGGGCTTGTTTATGCATGGGCTCTGACTGGCCGAAACCCAGGACATCAGACACTGGGGCTTTCTGACCGCCCTGTTTCCTGTCCTGAGCTGGCAGTGGCCTGGTGGGTGGTGAGAGACCAGGCGAGCCTTACTGTGGGATGGAAATCATTCGCGCCTTTATGGGGCACCGGTAGGCAGTTCTTGCATGAACAGAGCAGGAAAACCTGGACTGACTAATAAGAATTTGAATTTGCCATTACAAGGTTGCATCCGTTTTTGAAATTAAAATAATAACTACCACGTGAAGACCTTTTAGTATTCGGGCTTTGGAAAGTTTAGTACTCAGAGGCGTGTGGTTGCCCATCTCCTCCTTCACCATTCCCTGTTTGGGAAGAAAGTGCCTGTGAATACTAATCTTCCAGTTGGTACTCATTTTGTCTAGGATTACCTATTTCCAGTGCTGCTATTACCTGGGTTACTTCCTACCCCGTTGTAATTCCCGGTTTACCTCAAACCTGCTCACTCCCAGCAGCTGACCACAGTCACTGTCATCTGCAGAGTAGCTGAAGTCTTTACGGGCAGTGTTGAGAGCCACAGGTTTAGGGTTACATCTCTCTTGAGTATGGGGATCCGCTCGGAGCTGTTGATTTATTGTACCTGTCGTCATTTCTCTTTTACCTTATTAGAAATGTGTTAGATGGTTTCCCTTGATGGATTTAAGGCTTACACTAGTTAGTGATAAATTGTTTCCAGATGTTGCCAAGCCTTGCCTTTTCTTTGAAGAATTTGCATTGTCATAGACTCAGAAGTAAAATAACATCTGACTTAAAGGCTAAAATGTATGATTTTTTTTTTTTTAAGTTGAATATTCCAAATTCTTTTGAAATTTTTGTTTCTCCATCTGGGACCTGAATTTAGCCTCAGTATTTTACTAAACCAGGCCCTAGAAGACTTAACCTTTGCAAGAAACATAAATTATATGTAATATTTGTGTCACATTCATAATAAACGTTTCAAAAATAGAAGTCCTATTTTACATAAGACGGGGATCAGAGCAAGGAACCTGGGAGCTCAGTTTTCATTTCGTATCCTTCTAAACAGTTTGGAATCTTGACCACATGTGACTTTTAGTCTTTAAAAAGAAAACGAGTCTGTCTGGTCGCACGCTGTCTGTGGAGGTGACAGCAGTGTGTCTGTCTCACCTGGGGGCCGAGCCCAGCCCTGTTCCCTCCCTTCTCGTGGGCAGCTCGGGAGGAGCTGGGGACCCACCTAGGTGTGGGGGCCAGCTTGGAGAGTGCCTGGTGTTAGGAGCTGGATGTTTCGATCACCACCTTCCTGTTTCTCTCCACATCTAGAGTCTTCTTACTCTACCAGCCAGCGTAAAGAGTGGTCTTGTGTTTGGGGGTTTGCTTAGGGAAAATCTCTGATTTATTTGACTTGGAAAATTTTGGGGTTACCTGTCATGAGGTACTATTGAACTCTTAAGATTAGACATTCAATTGATGTTTACCCAAGCTTTTCTTTGCCTCTTTTCCTTAAAAATCACATCATAAGCCAAGTGTAGTGGTACATACCTATAATCCCAGCACTCTGGGAGGCTGAGGCAGGAGGATTGAAAGTTCATGCCCAGCCTGGGTAATATGGTGAGTTAGTGAGACCCTGTCTCAAAATAAATAAGAAGGGGATATAGCTCAGTAAGAAGGCCCTGGGTTAAACCTTCAGTTCCACCACAAAAGTTACGCTATAACTCACGGCTCCCTCAGGCCTTCCCAGCTTTCAGGGAAGCCCCAGACTAGGGAGCAGTGTACTAGAGATTCAGACAGGGCTCGAGCTTCTCATTGTTTTAATTTGCAGATGGTGTGTATCCTGCGTGTGCTGCTTCTCCAGCAGATGAGGTGTCTGACCCACTCTTGGGGAATTGGTTTCTTATTTTGGAGTTTTTAAAGCACTGTCTGTTTTGGATACTAATCCTTTATTAGGTGTGTCTTGCAAATATTTTCTCTGAGTATGCCATTGGTCTTTTCATTATCTTAGCACCTTTCACCAAGAAGGGTTTAATTTTAATAAAATCCAGCTTAGCCATCTTTGCTTGCATGACTTGTGCTTTGGACATACCTGAAATTCATCACTGCCTCCAAGGTCACGAAGATTTTCTCCTGTGTTATGTTTTGGAGTTCTGTTGTTTTACATTTGTGTCATTAGGTGTTGCAGTTTTAGGTTTGTGTGTTTTCTCGTTGATGAGATAAAATACCCGACACCTAGAGTTAAAGGAGGAGAGGTTTATTTGGTTCATGTTTGCAGTGGTTTCCATAGTCAGCTGGCTCCAAGCAGGGTGGCATCAGAGAGGAGAAATGGTTCATAGTAGGCAGAAGGCACCAAAGCAAGCAAGAGACCCAACAAGTGACCTTAGCAGCTTCTTTCTGCCCCTTTTTATATTCTATTTAGGCTATCAGGATTAGGGCAGTGCCAGACCAATCATTGGTCTTAATTGCCATATCACACACTCTAGATCCAGGCACCTCTGAAAAGCCCCACAAATGACTACATGAAGCTTTGGGTGGACATCTAGATATACCCATAACAGTCTGTGATCCAGTTTGAGCTAGCTTATGGGAAAGGTATAAGGCCTGTGTCTGGATTCTTTTTCTTTTTTTAATGCATATGGATGCCCAGTTGTCCCAGCTCCCTTTGTAGAAACAAGTCCTTCCCCCTTCAGTTGTTTTTCCTTGTTTATTGGATTTTATTTGTTGGTTTGTTTTTGTTGAGACAGGGTCTCACTGTATTACAGGCTGTTCTGGAACTTGTAGTGATCCTCCTGCCTCAGCCTCCCAAGTGCTGGGATCACAGGTGTGTGCTACCACATCCAGCTTGCTTTTCCTTCTTTGTCAGAGATCCCTTGACTGTCTGTGTGAGTCTGTTTCTGGGCTCCCTGTTCTGTTCTGTGCATCTGTTTATTTGTTCTTTCACCACTGTCCTGATTACTGTACCCTGGTAGTAAGTGTGGAAGCTATATCCCCACCCCTATTTATTTTAATTTTGAGACAGTCTTGCTAAGTTGCCCGGGCTGGTTTGAAATTGTGATCCTCCTGCCTCATCCTTCCTAGCAGCTAGGGTTACAGGTCTGCACCATCACGCCCAGGTGAGGGTTAATTTTTAGCTATGGTATAAGAGTACAACTTCATTCTTTTGCCTGTGGGTGTCCAGTTATCATGACACCACCCATTGTAACCTTTTCAGTTTTTACCTTGGTACCCTGTCCCTGCAGAAGTGTCTGTCACCTTGGCCCTTACTGAATGTTATCACTGAAGAGGAGCGGCCTCTGGAGCCCTTCAGCCCTCATGGTTTTGTTTAGCTGAGGGATCAGCAAGACTTTGTGGAAATGGCCAGATGGTCCACGTTTCAGCCTTCGCAGACCATAAAACATCTGTTGCAGCGTGACAGGACATAAACAGATGAGTGGGAATGTTCTACCAAAACTACAGAGCTCAGGCAGAGGCTGCAGTTGCTGGCCCTTTGTTAGAAAGTTCTGAAGTCAGGAAGTGAGCATTCCTTTTGTTGTTGTTGTTTTCTTTCTTGGGACAGGGTCTTGCTATGTAGTCCAGGCTGGCCTCGAATTCGCAGTGATCCTCCTGCCTCAGCCTCCTGAGTGCTGGGATTACGGGCATGTGCCATCACTCATGGCAAGAGGGTTTCTTATCCACTAGTAGTCTTCTCCACAGAGTCCTCTGTGGCCTGCTTTCCTACAGGACACCTGGGCTCCTGGAAAGCTGGGTGCTGGTGGGATTCTCTGTACTAGCAGCTGTAGGAGTCTCGGGGAGCCTGCTTGGTCCTAGCTGCCTCACGGGGCAAGGGATGACTTTGCAGACTCTGAATGTGTCACAACCTTGGCAGTCACGGGCATCCCCTCCAGCCAGGTTTGGTGAGGATACAGTATGTGCCGGGTCAGTGCTTGAGCTTGGGTCACAGATTCAAAACTCAAGTTACGCATGCCTGTGGGACAGGACAGGACTGTTGCTTTTCTAATCCATTGTGTACCTTGCCTGTACTTGATATTCCTCAAAGTATATCGCCCCTCAGCTCAAAACTGAAAGGCTTTCTATGACATTAAGAAAAATCTAGAGTCTACACCACTTGCCTACCATGTGCAAGGCCCTGGCTTCTATCCCCAGCACCTCAAAGATCTTGTTCCTCTGCAGAGGCATCAAAAACAATGAAAAGCTGGCTAACATTATTATAGATAGGTAAATTAATTAGATACCTTGTTGGCAGGTAGACAGGACCTCCCTTAAGGCGCCAGCCCTCCAGGAGCCAACACAGCAAGGAACCAACATGGAGAACAATTGAGGCACATTCACTGGTTAGCATTATAAAAAGGAAAAGAAGTACTACTTCCCCTAGAGATAGGTAGCAGTGATTGATATTCTAATGGGAAATTCCTTGTATGTGACTTGTCTTCCCATTTGATCGCCATTTAATCAATATTACCTGGGTGACTTACTTGTAATCTCATAGGTGGTGTCTACCTCACTTCCCTGTCACTGAGACAGTGCCCAACACCTACAACTGAAGGAGGAGACATTTATTTTGGCTCAGACTTTTAGACGATTCAATCCATGATCGGCCAGCTCTAAGGCAGGAAAAGAAGGTGGAAAGGTCTGGTGGAGGTAAGCTGCTCACATCATGGTGGCCAGGAAGTGACAGAAGGAACTGGGGAGGGACATGTACCCTTCCAGGTCACACCCAGTGGCTGCCTCTTCCAATTACACCCACTTCCTCCCAGCACATTTAGCTATAAACTCAGTGGATTAATCCACCCCCTGATCCAATCACTGCTCTGAACATATGAGGCTTTTGGGGGACATTCTGGATCTAAACTGTAACAGTTGGAAACAATAGACCATGTAGGCCCCCAGGAGAAGCTGAGGTGAGTCTCAGGAAATTAAGACATACAAAAGGCACGTGGAGAGGGAGATCAAAATGCTGCACAGCCCTAAGTGAGCTGCATGCTCAGTAAAGACATGGGAAGATTAGCTTTCTTGAAGCTCAGAAAATGTCCTGCTCATTAGTGAGGGACATCCTTGGCACTGACCCGGTCTGCAAAGACTGGAAAGGGCTGGTTTTTCAAATGCCCCCACCAAAAAAAAGCTTTGCAAAGAAACAGGCTAATAGAGCCTATTCAGCGGAACCTGAAATGGTAGAAACTCCCGAAAGACATTTGATAGACAGGCTAATTAATTATTCATTTGTTTATTTTGGTGGTACTGGGGAATGAACCCAAGGCCTTCATACTGAGCTACATCACCAGCTCCCGCCCCCTTTTCTTAATTTTTGAGACATGGTCTCACTAAGTTTCTAAGTTGCCCAATCTGGGCTCAAATTTGCAATCCTCCTGCCTCAGCTTTCCAGAGTGCTAGAATTACAGACATGCACCACTATACCCAGCTAGACAAAGGTTTTGAAATAAGTATCCGAAAAATGCTCAGAGAGCTAAAGGAAAACATGGACAAAGAATTAAAGAAAGTTGGGAAAGTTATGTACAAATACAATGAGAATAACAATCAAGAAATTATGAAAAGGATCTAAACAAATTCTGGAGCTAAAAAATACAATAAATGGAAAAATTCAGTAGAAGGATTCAATAGAAGATTCCAAGAGGTTCGAAGTGAGAATCTGCAAACTTGAAAATAATACATTTGAAATAACCTTGCCTGAAGAATAAACAAATTTTTTTTTTTTGGCTACTGAGGATCGAACTCAGGACCTTGAGCTTGCAAGGCAGGTGGCGGTGCCGCTGAACTAAATCCCGAGCCCAATAAACATTTTAGAAAGAATGAAAAGTGAGATTTTTTTTTTTTTTGGTACCAGGGATCGAACTCAGGACCTCGTGCTTTCAAGGCAGGCAGCAGAACCACTGAGCTAAATCCGCAGCCCAATAAACAAATTTTTAGAAAGAATGAAAAGTGAACAGATCGGGGGCTGGGGATTTAGCTTAGTGGTTCCACCACCTGCCTTGCAAGTGCAAGGACCCGAGCTCGATCCCCGGTACAAAAAAAAAGTGAACTGATCCAAAGGAACTCTGGGACAACGAAATGAAGACCAAATAGGCATTAGGGAAGTGGCAGGAGAAGAAAAAAGGACAGAAAACTACTCAAAGAAATGATCAAAAACTACCCTGAATTGAGAAAAGCCATGAAACTATAAATCAAAGGTCAATGAAATCCAAGTGGGATTAACAGAGAAAGACCAGCACCATCAAACAGTATAATCAAACTATTGAAAAACCAAAGACAAAATTATTTAATAGTGCCAGGGATCGAACTCAGGTCCTTGTGCAGGCTAAGCAAGTGCTCAGCCAAGAGCCTTATCACTCCTGAAGGAGAATTTTTTTTTTGAGACAGGATTTTGCTTGGTAGTAGTTCAGACTGACCTTGAACTCACCATGTAGCCCAGGCTGGCCTCGAACTCGTGGTGATCCTCTGCCTCAACCTTCCAATTGCTGGGACTACAGGTGTGC